GAAAACAAAGACATGGTGTCCACCCAATAATTAACAACCAAAACCATGATACGGGTGAAGGCAGGGCAGAGAAACGGGAGGACGAGCATTTGTACGTCATCAGACAGTTGATTGTGTAAAGTCATCATTACTTTGCCCCATCATGGCTCTTACAGAGTAATGTGCCGTGATTGGGCAAAGGCTTGCGTCTGACCGGTGGTCAGGTGCTAATGCTTTTGACTATCAGTTCTTCACAAGGCACTGTGCCTTTTGAGGAGCACATAGAGGGCAAAAAGCCATCCCAACGCCCCGATAGTTCATGTGTTCGCAAAACACATGAACTGCCGATGTTCGAGTAGAACTCTTGCTCAACTCGAACATAGAGCCCATCCATCACTAATGGGAAGGTGTCAGCTTCAAGTGCAAAGTGCCAGTCTATGGCATTCCCTGTACTACAGATTGTTTATTTCCACTTCAGGGAACAGATATTGGAACCCACCAAATATATAAAATGGGTGCAATATATCAAAAGTGGAACAAACAGAATATGGAGTAGTTGCCCATGGCAACCAATCAGCTTTTCTCTTCAGCTTGATCAGTTAAAGTTTAAAAATGAAATATAGAAGCTGATTGGTTGTCGTGCACAGCTGCTTCCAATTTTGTCTGCTACAGTTTACATAAATTCCCCTCAGTATGTTTTGTGCTGACATGCACAGATAAAATCCTCCTCACCTTTACTGACTATTTCTCACCTTTCTGGTTGTGTGTCAGGACTCTACAGGCAGATCTGTAGTCCTCTATTGCTAGTTGCCATTCTCTTCTACTGAATATAATCATGGATTTTGGTAAAGTGAAATCATTATAGACATGTCCCTTTAATAAGAAATATCGGTAATTGGTATTGCAAAATACCTGCGGGAAGGTACTTGCACTTCGTCTGAGAAAAAGTGGAATCGGGACATTCCTAGCCTGCACCCTGACCCTGGTGGGCTTAGTGCAATCAAGTAAGACCCAACATTGAGAAATGACCATAGGCCCAGAAATTGTACTAAAATAACTTTTATTGTTGCAGTTCAAGATAAATCAAGAAGAATAAGTGATATTATCAAAAGGGCGAAGAGTTTGGCCAATGTAGGAGAAGTGAGCAATGTGCACTCTAGTGCCAAAGAGTTGATGTGGAAATATTCTCAAATTCAGCTCACTATCCACTTCATCGATTTTGTCCTTCAACTTGCACTTCTCCTGTCTTCTAAAAAAACTTCAGAATTCTGAGAATAATCCCAAATATCATACAAAACGTCATTACACAATAACAAAAGAAAAAATTGAAGTACATGCCATATTATTTGTCATCTCTGCGTTATTTAGATTGATTTTAGTTTGCTATATCACAGAAAAAGAACAAAGAAAGAATCGGAGAGCCGGCGGCGGTGACAATACCATCACGACTCCACATGGGAACCACAGCCCCAGGACCAGACCAAGACCCAGCCAAGCCCGGGAATTGAAGATGCTACATCCATTGTTGTAGAGGTTGAATATGTGGAGGAGGCCACTGTGACGATGATGGGGGATTTGAGTCTGAATATTGCAGAATAGAATTTGTTTGTTTCCCCAGTTCAGAGCACCTGCAGGCCTTCATTTAGAATTGACAGGCCCCCACCACATTCCAACATATCTCTGCTAATCCTTTCATGGCTGTCGTAAAAAAAGGCATGGCACTAGGCCCTCCATATATTACGAATGGACATCTTATATCAACAATCAGGTCTGGAGAGGGGGTGACCCCGGGGACCCTCGCATTCTCTCTAAAAGTCATAAAACCTGAGGTTGAAAATCAAGCTACATTTTTTATACTTTCAAATTTGGGCGGTGATAGGTAAACTAAAGGTTCATCCTCCGCCCGTTTACCCGCCCACTCCTGCCTAGGGGCTGGCTCCGGGACACCCTCCAAAAGGGTCTTTTAATATACTGAAAGATTAAAGGGGAACTCTCCTGCGATGTTCAGACAGTCCTCGAAGATGTTTTAAGAGCCACTCTAGTTGCCAAGGCAGAGTATTTTATAGCAGCTACCGCTGTGGAACGCACACGCTTTCGGTGTGAACAAAGCCTTAGTATTGCACATAAAACATGCCCCCATTCAAAAATTCCACAGGTAACCAGTGACATGTTTTGTGAAGGCATCTTTTCTATGCAATAGTACATATCATCCAAAACAGGCATCTAGATTTCATGTTTGTACAAAATCCATTTTATTGATAGCTGTCGCTCAATCGACAAGCGCTTTTGGGCCGTGCAGCGGCCCCTTCATCAGGCTCAGAAATGGGCTTGTCGTTTGAATGACAACTATCAATAAAATGGATTTGTACTATAGATGTACCGATACTAATGTCGGTGCAGATACTGGGTATTTGGGCGGGTACTTGTACTCGTCCAAATGTTCCGATACCTTCCCCAATACCGGAACTTCTGCTTATAGGGAGATTTCCCTTTCACCAGCAGTGCTGAGGGAGCATACAGCCGACTTCCTTTCCAATCCCGCCTCCTGGCTTCCTGGTTGGCTAGGAAGCCTGTTTCACTTGTTGCTAGGCACCCTGGCTTCCTAACCAATCAGGAAGCCGAGCGGTGCGTCATGACTCGCGTCCCGGCCTCCTGATCGGTCAGGAAGCCACGCTGCCTAGAAAAAAGTGAAACCGGCTTCCTAGCCAATCAGGATGCCAGGAGGTGGGTCGTGACGTGCTGCCCCGACTTCCTGATTGGCAAGGAAGCCAGCTTCACTTGCTAGTAGGCAGCCTTGCTTCCTAATCAATCAGGAAGCCCAGTGGAACGTCATGACTCATGTCCTGGCCTCCTGATTGGTCAGGAAGCCACGCTACCTAGAAAAAAGTGAAGCTGGCTTCCTAGCCAATCAGGAAGCGCGTTGACATCATGACTCGCAGCCCCTCTTCTTGATTGGTCAGGAAGCTAGGTAGCCTCTGAAGCCGGTTTCTTTCACTTGAACACTGACTTCACAGGAAGCCAGGCGATGGGTTATGATCTGCCGCCCACCTTCCTGATAATTGGGGCACAAAGCACCAGTATCGGTAATCGGCGAATACCAAAAAAAAAATACCGGTACTCGTACTCTACACCAAAAAAATGGTATCGGTTAGGGATGCACCGATATATCGGCCACCGAAACATATCTGCCAAAAATGGCACATTTGGCTAAATGCCGAAAGTGCCTTTTTTCTGCCGATACAGCGGCACATCCGTGCTTTCTTTCCTCCCCCTGCTGAGCACTGCTCTGTGTCCCAGTGGGGAGGATAGAAAGTGTGACAGCCGGCCAAACGCTGCGGGAGGAGAGCTCTGTGAGCGTCCGGCGTCTCTCCTCCTACACCGCTCAGCCTCCTATCACAGTCCGGCAGAGCGGTGTGTGGGCGGAGACAGGCCGCGCTGTCACAGGAGGCTGAGCTCTCTTCCATACACCGCTCGCTCAGCCTCCTGTGACAGCGTGTCAGAGAGGAGAGCGGGTGATCAGTGATCCCTGAGTGTTTGTAGATAATTGAGGACAGAGTATGATTATCCTCAATTATGAATAGGAAGTGATCTACATCCCCTCCTGTCCATTCATGATTGTGGTTCTAGTAAACATACTCTGTCCTCATGTTATCAATGAACAGGAACACTCAGTATAGAGGATTTCTGTTCATTGATAACAGGGCCTGCAGAAAAAGAGATTGAGGGCTCTCCATGTGTCTCTGAGGACTTTGTGTTCTCAATCTCTTTTTCTATTTTAAAAGGGAAATATCAGGGGTCCTTTCCCTGCGATCTGCTTTTTTGGGGGTTTTTTTCTGGCATCAGGGACGCCGTCCATCAGAGGAACCCCCCCACCAAAAAACAGCATAGGAATGCATAGCTAGATTGCTATTGGCTATTGCAAAGTGAAATAGCCAATAGCAGACTAGCTATTGCACCCGCCCACTGCTGCTGTCAATCAGCAGAGGGTGCCTGAAGTTCTCCATCAGTTCCTCTTCTAGTGATTGACAGCAGCAGAGGGCGGGTGCAATAGCCAGCTTGCTATTGGATATTGCAAATTGAAATAGCCAATAGCAATCTAGCTATTTAGTCCTTTGCTGTTTTTTTTCTTCTATTCTGATGGCAGCAGCTGTCAGAATACTAAAAAACACAAATCAGCAAATAGCAAAGAAGCTATGCTTCCCGTGCTATCTGCCATCATTTCAGGGTGGTGCTCTCCTGGGTGCCCCCCGGAGCGGAGACCAGGTGACACCCCGCCGTGACATCAACGCACATGCACGGTCATCTAATTGATGCCTGCCGGCGGCCATCTTTGTGATGGACGACAGCAGAGAGAGGGGGAGACGTTCACCCGGTGGGATGAGATATGCTGCCGGGACCCCTCCTCTCTCCTGGCACTGTCTGGCTCTCGGCCCATGACTGAGTGCCCCACTTTTTAGAGGGGGTGACACCAAAATTACTGTCAGTCAGTCATATTGGTGTCACCCCTCCAATGGTGTGACCCGGTTGCCGCACCCCTGGGGGGGGGGGTGCGGGGCAGAGGGCACCGCCCTGAAATAAGAAGGGCACCTCCCTGAAATTGCTTTTTTCCAGGTTGGGATCCCTGTTGTCATCATTATCACTCTCTATAAATAACAGAAACAAACAATAAAACACTTTGCTCTCCTCTTCGACAAGGAAAAGAGAATTCCATAACAACGATTTTTGGTTGGGAAGAGGTAAGGTAACGTGTGTATAAATATCCCTTATGGTTCCATCCTTGCTGCCACAAGACAAGGGTGCCACTCCCACAGCAAGTATTCCTTCCTTCAAGCATAGACTATTGGCATCGGTCTTTAAACAGTGGCAGACCATAGTAAAAGTAGGCTCAGGTGTACATAAATATTAACCCCTACTCCCAGTCACTTTCAACATGTGGAGTTCTTTGATTCCAGATACTTATTGTATCAAATCTTTTTAAAGTCCCAGTTGCTGGAAAATATGTTGACTTCCAAAATTAAATTTTAGGTTTTGTAACTTTTGATATTCAGCAATGCCCGTTTGTTCCGAATTGCGTTATTATTTTTTAGAAGAGTAACAACCCGTCTTCTCCTGAGGAATACTGGAACACCATAGCCACTAATCCACAGATATTCTGGAGACAGAATCTTGGTTGGCTTGTGGTAAAGAAAATACTTATTTACATAGCTTTCATCGTGCCAGATGGCTTCAATGTTTTTCTCCTTATCGGTCATCATGGCGTTATGGCAGAAATTGGTTAGTTTGTAAACCTCTGCAACTGTACCACCAAAATGCCCTCCTGCATAATAAAAGTCCCCCTCGTCTCTAGGAATGTAAGCTGTTGACCGCGGTCTTCGCTCGTAAGTGAAACGATTACGTGGTCCATTGTAGTAACTAGGATGTACCGTGCCAAACACATCACTTAATATTTCCACCCCAACAGAATCACTGAACTTCATGTCTACATCCACACACACCAAGAAATCCACTTCTTTGAAGAAACGTTGACGTGCATGATCTCGTATCATCTCCATGCGCCTCATGGACACTTCTTGCCACCGTTTATAACTGGGAACTTCCAGAATGACCAGCTGCCTCCCCTCAGTAAGGGTCAAATTGACAATCTCATTAGCCTGGTCTGTAAACACATAGTAGTTGACTTTATGGCCCACCATGAAGAACTGTTCAGCAGTTTCAATGAAAGTCTTGACAAAGACCGTATACCTGAAAAACAGGTCAACATGCCTTAGTACTCAATATATTTAAAATTTATTTCATAAACTATTTACATGGAACCCAGAAGACAGTACCATAGGGAGATGTACCGCATCCCTACATATAAATAAACTTCCACTCTAGAGACTACATTGGATTTTTAGGGTACAGGAAAATGGTCCATAAGCACAAATAATTCTAAAGCAATAGAATTTATTAAAATACTAAAAAAGCTAATAATCTCTTAAGATATAAAATATACTTTATCCAAGTTTTTAACCTTTCGGCTAACCTCCATTTAGGTCAACTTATTGCTACAAAGCTTTTTCTTAATTCCTTGCACTGTATATAATACTTCTTTATACCATCAACTGTTTTACATAAAGTGGGCTCGATTTTCCTACATGCATTTCGTGGACCAACTGTCCACTTCTTCAGGAGGACAGAATGGAGGCAAGTATCTATAAGCAAATAAGTACATGATTAGATCACTGTTGTCTACTGTAAGCACAATAACATATGGTTGGAACTATGAACATCAGGAATTTCTACGCCCAGCACGGAAACAACAAAGGTCTGAGGACCACCACCTACATCCACCACCGATGACGTTATCGGTAATTGTTATCAGCGAGTACTTGAAAAAAAAGTATCGGTACTCGTACTCGGCCTTAAAAAAAGTGGTATCGGTGCATCCCTAGTTGGAACACAAAATATACTTACATGTGTAGGGTCTTCACAAATAGTACAATTTCTATAAAACCACATAATTTTCCATATTCATTATGGTGTCCCCTTCCACGTACTTTGGCATTATGCTGAATGGCACATACAGGCAGAATTATATTTTTTTTAAAGATTGCAGTCTTTTTGTTTCAACTATACTTGCCTTTATTCTGTCTTCCTGAAGAAGTGAACAGTTGCTCCATGAAACGTGTCAAGGAGAAACTTTTTGTGATACAGTTACTTACGGTATAAAAAAGTGTTACATACTGGGCAAGGCATTAAGAAAACATTGTATACAAATACGTGGGACTAAATGGAGGTCAGCCAAAAGGATGGAAACTTGCATAAGGTATATGTTATGTCTTAAAAGATTTGTAACCTTTTGTATTTGAATAAACTCTATTTCTTTATAATTTGGGTTTATGGGCCATTTTCCTGTACCCTAAAAATTATGGTTAATAAATGTAGCAGGTCACACTTTGTACTAAACACTATAATAAGTATAACAAACATTATAACAATAACAACATAATAAGTTGGTTAAAGACAGCTTTAGTGGGCGTGTACTTTAAATTGTTTGTGTATAGAAGAGAGTGATTTCACACCCCAGTAGTAAATATTGGAGTAAGTAGAGAAATCTACCTAGGGGTTTGCCAGGACCCTAGGAAGAGGGGCTTTCAAAAATTACTGAATGCTCTCTTGTTATATATAAAAGTACAAATTAATTTATTAATGTAACATGATTACTAAATAATTAATTTAAAATTCCACTCAATAAAACATAATTGTTCCATGTGATTCATACAATACATTGTCATAAAAATAGTTCATTTGTGTAACATAATTAATTAGTTCATCAGCAGGTCTCTGTTGGAGAGCCGGAGAGAACTGCAGTTAGAGCTATGCCCAGAGTTAGGCTTTATGGCTCGATTCACGCTTATGTGTTTTGGTTCGTTAAGGGTGTAGTGTATTTCAACTTGTTCCCATTTAGACATATGTAACACACATTTTGCTGGAAATCAAACATGCAGCAAGGAGGATTTTTTTTTCTAGTGGCAGTACCTACAATGCCCAGGTTTTAAAACATCCCTATTACAGTAAGGTGCCCTTAGATACTAAGAAATATAAGTGCCTAATGGTGCTCCCTGGTCACTGCCTAGGACAACAGCAGAATCTTTTTGTCATATTTCTTCCAGTAACCTTCATTTGTAAATGTAAAAAAAATTAATGTGCACAAGAAAAAAGATTATGAAACAAATTTTTTTAAAAAGAACACACCAATGTTAAGAAAACCCATAATACACAAACTTTGTAAAAAGAGCTTCTCCATTCTCCAACAGGGCGATTAGCTTGAGAGATGGCCATGGGAGAACATAGCGAGACCCAGACTGGTATATTCCTACAGTCCCCACTCATACTACACTAAAAGCTTCACTTTTAAAACTCTCGCCCAGTATATAGTCGCGTGGATGCCATTCGCATGGCACCACGTACCCTGGATGGCACTGATGAGTGTAGAAAATGTAATACGTTTTTTTGCTAAATCCCTAAGCTTGTGCCCGTACTTTCCATTTATGCCCCTTTGGACATTAGACAACAATCTCCCAATACAATGTTTTTTTGGTGGATTAGGTCCTGAGTGAGCATTTCCAGGGGGAAAAAAAGGATAAATCAAAACACCTTGCAGCACCTCTCCTGTGTTTCCCAGTGCTGGGGCTGTCTATGTGGAGCTTCCCCCTTCCTCCTGCATTGTCTACTACTTGTTGACCTAGCAGCCTATCTCTGGCCCAAGGAGCATCATGCTATCTACAGTCATCTTACGGCCACACTATAGTATAGAATAAAGATACAGAGTACACATCTTGGAGGGAATGTATTAAGCATATTCCCACAAAGAAAGATTTTCGACTTCTTATACACGAAGTCAGGGAAACATGCAAATCAGAAATTCAACTACTCCGCAATGACTTCCATCAACTGGCCCAGGGGGTGACGGTAGTAGACGAAGATCTACAGACCACCAAACAGGATGTTTACAAACTACACACTCACTATGTAGATCAAACTTCGGCGATCAGAGACCTGCAGCGCAGAGTGGAAGACCTAGACAACCAAGGCAGACGTAACAATCTAAGAATCAAAGGATTGCCGGAGGCAACCGACACTGAAGATCTCCAGGCTGTTCTCCAAACATTGTTTAACAACGTGTTGGGCAACCCCTCCTCACACAAAATAGAGATGGGCAGGGCCCATAGGGCACTACGCCCTAGAGGCTCCTCCTCCACTCCACGAGATGTAATCTGCAGGATCCATTACTTCACGGTCAAAGAAGAGATCCTCAGAAAAGCGCGCGCCTTACGGTCTCTGGAATTTGATGGTGCTCCTCTCCAGATTTACCAAGACCTCTCATGGCACACTTTACAACAGCGTTGCTGCCTTCAGCCTTTGCTGACCTTGCTTAGGGATAATAACATCCCATACCGCTGGGGATACCCTTTCAGCCTAACAGCACGCAGGGATGGTAAGAGCACCACGCTGCGGGTCCTGGAGGATCTATCAAATTTTTGCTCAGATCTTAGACTTACGTGGCCGACCTTGACTGGATGGGACCCGCTACCTACACTGGGTCCAGAGCCACCTCAATGGCAGAAGGCTACCCCGGGCAAGCGGACTGCCAGGTTTACACAAATGACTTCCTCACCGACCGGCAGGTCCCCTCATTCCTTCCCGGCCTCCACTCCAAGGCGCCCACGTTGAATGACAGGAGGGTAGCCAACGGCGATGGCCGCTACTGGAAGACCCCAACTGGGAAGATGTTACCCTATATGTTGTTTTTTGCCTTACCTTAGCAGGCAGTTAATACAAACCATAGATTAAAGTTCAATGAAGGATAGTTATATTTCTATTTTATCTCATGATTGTAAGCTCTTAGTTTCGCTTTGCAGCAGTTCTGGACGGGGAAGACAGGGTTCTAGAACCATATTGTTATACACTTACCACCCGTGAAATAAGACCTGCCCAAAAGGATCTTGTTTCCACCCCCGAAACACTAAATCACAGTTGGTGATATATAATTCTAAGTTCTTCAAAACTATTGCTTAATATTTAATATTGTCCAGTTGCCTTGGAAGACGTGGTTATACCCACTTGTTCCTATTGTTCCTACCTATATTGTCATTTTTTAAATCTATTGTGCATATGTTGTTATGTATGCTACGTGGATAGTTTTGTTGACTTGTTCTCTTAACGTTGTTTATTTTCTTCATAGAATACCTCATGTATCTTTTCCTCCTCATACTTCTCTCTTCTCAACCTCATTCCTCCATGACATACTGAACCGCTACCTCTTCGGGATCTCTGGACGTCAGGTTAGTCTTCTCCACACTTCCTTAGCAGGGGAGATCTTAGGCAGCATTCTAAGTTCATTACACCTCTATGATGGCAGCCCCCACGACTAAATTGTTCTCCCTTAATGTCAAGGGATTGGACTCTCCGTATAAACGTAATTTGACTTATAGGGAGCTCAAAAACTCTAATTCGGATATAGTCTTCCTGCAGGAAACGCATTTCACACCCTTAAACACCTTTAAATTTGTCTCCTCTCTATACCCCCGTGCATACTCTTCCACTCACGAAAAAAAAAAAAAAAGCAGGAGTAGCCATACTACTCAAAGATTCATGCACATTTAAACCCGATACAGTTCTCACAGATAGACAAGGGAGGTTTGTGATCCTGCATGGCACTTGGCAGGGGACCCCGGCTACGATATGTAACATATATGCCCCCAACACGGGACAGATTGGGTTTCTCACAAAACTTCTTACGAGAGTGGCACGGCATGATCATACTTTCCTTATTGTGGGTGGAGACTTTAACATGCCATATTCTATGGTCTTTGATCATCTGGGTCACTTGGGACGGAAAGCTCTGAGGGGGGCAGAATGTACCTCCAGACACTTTCGGCGCTTACTCCGCCAACATTCATTGTTGGACTCGTGGCGGGTGATCCACCCCTCTGAGAAACGCTACATCTTCTACTCTGCAGTGCACCACACACACACTAGGATAGATTACCTTCTAGTAAACACACCGACTTTGAGGAACATGGCAACTGCAGATATAGGGGTTATCTCCTGGTCCGACCATGCCCCCATTGACCTAACACTACGTTTGGATCCTTCCAAGATCAAAAGATGTCATTGGAGAATAAATGAGAGTCTTCTTAAAGAGGAACCTTCCAAACGGGACTTAAAAACCGCTTTGGACTCTTATTTTGAACTCA